GTATCGGTGCATGCAGGAGGCTATCTTTGCCCATCAAAAGCCACCCGATGTTCGGTGTTCCAACACCATTCTGCATACTTTTTGAGGAGATTGGATACTGGCCGGGTCATTTCTGCGTAATTTACGCTAGACTTGTGCAAGTGGTTGGCGAGACCGAGCCACTTATGCAAGTCCTTCTGGTTCTTTGGAACCGTCCAGTCTACAATGGCCTTGACCTTAGCGGGATCCGCTCGAAGGCCACGCTTCCAATGAAGCACCCTAAAAAGGGAATTTCTTACCAAAGATGCACTTGTCTGCATTGGTGTACAGCTTGTTCGTGCGCATGCACTCGAGCACCGCTCTTAAATGGACGATGTGATTCTCCTCAACCGTCCTCCCGTGTTTTGCACGACTGTGAATAAAATGTCGTCAAAGCTGGTCTTTGCACGCGCCCTGTGGGGCCTGAACAACTGCGTCACAAGAAGATTAAATGTTGCTGGTGCATTCGACAGCCCTTCGGGCATCGCCAGCCACTCCCAGAGCATGCCGCTCAGCAGAATGTTACTCGCTCTCATGAGCAATTGGTAATATCCATCGACATAGTCGAGTGCACTGTACTTCGTGCATCCCACCATGTTAATTTGAAGAACATCCTTTCTAGAAATCGGCGTCTGTGCCGGAATGGTGACCGCGTTGAGCATATTGTAAGCATGAATGATACGCCACTTGCCGTTCGGCTTCCGAACACAAAACGTGGGTGTCAAATGGGGATACTTGCTCTCACGTACCATCCCCGCGTTGTGCTTCGCAAGGAAAAATGCGTCAATGATGTCGAACTACTCTTTGGGCAGGGGACATAGGTGTGTTACGCCGTATTGGTTCCCAGAACCAGGTCGATCTCATGATGCTCACTTCGGTCCGGAGGTATGACCGAAGACTGGTCTTTGGAGACATCGCCTTGAAATTCCTATACCAAAGGATAATACGGATCCAAGGGATTTCGTAGGATCGACAATCCACTTCGCGTGTTCAGCAATCTCTTGGCATCCTCCAAGACAGCTTCACCCAGAAGCGATGACGAGTTTATCTCCTCGTCCGGTCATACAATGTCTACTTCGACCAAATCGCCTGCCTTCAAAGCACCGCCGAATTCTTCAAGGGACATCTCGTCCAGCTCAAGAAGAGCATCTACTGCAGGCATGATCTCGAGGCGGACGTCACCATCTTCCTCCCCCGTCATACAGTTGACGAGGGTGTATAACTGTGCGCCATTGTCGACGGTAGACACACCCTGGAATAGGGTCGACGCCCAGCGTCTTACAGCCAGAATTCGGCGTCGCCGTTGCCTCTGTACAGAGATTCTATGTCTCGGTGCGACCGGGGTGTACACGTATTCCGTGTCGTCCGGTTGCACCCTCACTGTCCGCTTTTGGAGCTCCGATGTTATCTACAACATGAAACGAGGAACTGCTAACCCCGTAGTATTCGTCAAGTGTATAACGTGCCACTCTACGCGTATTTGAAGGGCCGTGCCCAAGATGCCTCGGGCGCTTTCCGACCACGCCATCAATGGCATGCAGCAACTGCTTCGTAACGAGAGCAGTGCTCAGTAGTTTACGTGCCACTTCACGTACATCACGAAGACCTCGCCCTTAACGCCTTGGCCCTTGGCCGACCATGTCACACATGACATACCGCGACTGCTTCGATATTCGAGCAGCGCTCAGTGGTTTACGTGCCACTTCACGTGCATCACGGGGGCCTCGCCCTCGAAGCCTCGCCCCTTAGCTGACCATGTCACGCATGACATGCATCGACTGTTTTGATACTCGAGCAGCGCTCAGTGGTTTACGTGCCACTTCACGATCAGCCCGCGAGCCACGGTTGGGACTGCTGTCAGATACACCGTTGTTGTCTACCAATTCGGACATTCAATGTATAGCACGCTGACCGTCTCGGTCCAGGGCTCTCGCCAATAGTAAGGTGGGTAAATGACTCGCTAAAACATCACCAGGAGACGTGCGCGTAGCGCCCAAGGTCGTTGACCTCCAATCACTTCATGGCTCATGGTGTTCCAACCATGCCATTTTTAGGATAGGGTCATACCTTGCATCCAAGTCTAAGCCTAGACAGCGTTCCACGCTAACAAAGTCAAGGAACTTGATCCGAGATTCACAGGGACCTTCGGGGCCGTGGCACGCGTCCCCGTCGCTAGGCAAACAGTGACGATGTCACCCAACCGCGTTTTCAGCTCCTCAGCATACAGCTGACTTCCTTCCATCGTAGAGCATAGAGCATAATTGCCCGACGCTTCAAAATTAGTGAGGATGTTCCATGGCTTCTCGAAGCCCTTTACGGTCGCCTCCACGACCAGCAAGCCCGGCTTGCATACACGTTTCGTGTTTAGGAGTACGAAGCCTTCGGGGCTAGGCCCTACTGACCAATGCCTTCTTAAGGCTCATCAGAACTCAGTTC